TCCGGTCTACAGCTCCCAGCGTGAGTGATGCAGAAGACTCCAAAAAAAAAAAAAAAAAAAAAAGAAAATACGGCTGGGTTAGCTCCTGCACCAGATGAGAACCTTGGCCTACACTGACCTCTTGGATTTATTCAAAACAATCAACATTCATATATGACATTCCCTAAAACAGATCACGAGCACTATACCAACTTAGAGCCAGTAGCTAATTAGACTTGATATGGAGAGCCGCACTGAGTCAAGCCCGATACAGACTGAGTCACTCAATTAGACACTGTGTCATTTAGACACACGCACAGGACACAGATCAGCGGGCACTGACTGGCTAACACTGGAACCCAAGGCATCCCTGCATGTGCTTGCCCACCACACAGCTCACTGCTGGGCAGCTCTGTGCGGGCCTGGCTGTGAGCCCTGGATATGCAGTGCTGGGTGTGGCCTCTACCTTCATGCAGCTCAGAGTCTGATGGGGGAGATGAACATTAAACAAAAACACACACACAGAAGCCCTAATTACAAACTGTGCTGTGCCCTGCGGGATGAGAACTGGGTGCTATCAGAGAAACGGGGAGTGGGGGTCACTCAGGGAAGACGATCCAAAGACCTGACCGCTGAGAGTGACCAGAGATGAGCCACAGCTGGCCACAAGAAAACAGAGGAAACACTGTTTCTGGAAACAGTGTGTGCAAGGGCCCTGTGGCGGTAGCTTCAGGGAATGGACAGGAGTCCAGTGAGGCTGGAGAGCAGCACGCCATGGGGAGTGGCATAAACAGAGCTGGAGAGTGAGACAGGGTCCGGGCTGCAGGAGTGAGGAAGGCAGACAATGAGAAACTGTTGTGGGGCTTGGGGAAGAGAAGCAATGTCCATGTGTTAATAATCTCTGCAGCCACCGTGCAGAGGACAAATGGAGGGGTCAAGAATGAACCAAAGCAGACAGGCCAGTGGTCCCCAAGTCACGCAGCGGGGAGCAGCTGGTGACCCAGAATGAAGTGGCAGCAAGGAAACGGGCAAACTGGAAAGGAACGCTGAAGGTAGTCCGGCCAGGCTGAGTGATGGACGGAATGGGTGAGGGAAGAGCAGGCCAGCGGCGACCCTCAGTCACCTTCCTCACGGGTGCGTCGAGATCAAGGAGCCAAGAGTCATCAGCCCAGGAGACGTGGAAAAGCGCTGGGAGTGCTACGCGCTCATTCCTTATGTTCAAAGGCCAAGTGCGGCTCATTACTGCTGACCCTGAGACTGCTTTGGAGCCAGAGGTCTGGCTCTGTTCACTGATCGCACAGGCTCTCAGTAAATACTTGCTGAGTCCACAGAACAAGAACATAAACTTTGATGATTTCACTGCACATACTGTTGACAAGAAAATGCCAGCTATCCACATAAAACAGATGTACAAAACACACGGCCAATAAACATTC